GGAAGGAATAGAGCAAACCCTCTGTTTAGGAATGGGGAGAGGGGAAAGGATGTTTGGGGACTGGCAGTACGTTCTCCCTGTGCAGTGCAGCAAAGTGTTATTCACAACTGAACTTTGCTGATCAAACCTCTGGAGAGGTGAAACTAAAATGTGGATAATCTGAATACGGGTGAGTAGAGTGTAAACTTGGATTGTAAATGAACTCTAAGGCAACCTAATAGTCCAGTTGTCTGAAGCTTGACTGCATTTCCACTTGGCTAAAATACCTGCTCCGTAATGGAGATTTCTTTGAGATCGTCAGTATTTGTGGTGTTTGTGCACAACCATGAAAACAGTGCATCTCCTTTAGTGAATTTGGAGAAGGCAAAGATGATTCATGATTTGTGGGCTCTCAGAAGCCTCTTCCATTCAGCAGAGGGCAGTGATCTTGCATCCACTATACCTCCTCCTTGCAAACCTGTTTGGCTGCTCCGTCTCTGTGCAGATCACCAGGTGGTCACAGAAACTCAGCATCATGGGGAAGGGGTGAATTTATACCTTGCATAGCAATGGCTGAGTACAGGGTTGCCTCTTCCCTGTAAAGACATGCATTTTCTCTTCTGTAGTTCTTGGAAAATCATCCTGTGATCATCCATGGTTTCACAAGCAGGAAAGTGAAGTCTGGTAGCTCGTGAGTTGCCAAAATGACCAAAGAGTGGTTGGAACCCATTCTCATCCCATTCTCTTTGTTAATCCAAGCACTGATAAGCACATCTTTAATTTGTTGTGTTGGTTTTTTTTTCCCCAGGCAGTGCCAGGTCAGTCTCCTTTGCAAAACTGCTCTTGGTGCTTACTGCCAAGTGCTTGAAGTGGGGATGCTTGCAGTGCTTTACTGGCAACAGTATGCCAAGGAGGAAAAGCTACAGCACCATGTAATGCTGTTTCGGACAATGGCTGAAAGAAATGATGCTAAGATTCAGACTTGCTTTTTCCACTTTCTCTTGATCATCCTTAAAATGGTGTTGCTCTGAGTGGACACCTTCAAGAAGAAAACAATTAAAATGGGGCTCTAATCTCATATGTCTTGTGGTGTTCACTCAAAGCACACAAGAAACCTCTCCAAACCAGCACACCTGAGGCTTTGGTACATCTGATATTCCTAAGGTTGTGTTTTCATATTTACTTGAGTGTTTATTGCCCGTGCTCTGATGAAACACCAGGAAGGCTGGTTGTGTGAACACTGCCAGAGGTCAGCTCGCCTTCATCTCTGCTGTTTGCATAAGCTGGTTAAAGATTTGAGGTTAACCTCTGCTGATGTATTTAGAAGCTGTAAAGCCATACGGTTTTGGTTTCTGTGTTGGCTCCAAAATTTGCAGAGAACTAAACCAAAAGGTGCTTTGTGTTCAGATGCTGTGAAAAAGCTTATTAACACATGGCATTAATAGAAAAGCCAATCTTTGCCCTGATCTGAACAGAGCTATTTTCCTCCCTGCGTTCAGCTGCATTACTCCTTAGCTCACCAGATCCAAAGGCACTATGACAAGTTTGTGTATACTTAAAATGGGAATATTCATTTATGCCTTTGGTCTTCACCAGATTAGACCTAATTTAAAGATTCTCTCAGCTATTCAGCGTTCTTCTTATTGCTCTGGAAGGTGCTCTGCCAGGTGAGCGGGTTTCCCCCCTATTACTGGGATGTAAACCTGGTGGAAAAGAGATGCCCATGGATGGTGTGGTCTGCACAGGAAATAGAAGTTCTCTCCTGACAGAGCCACATAGATTTTGGAATGTCTCCAAGGTGTGAGGAGACTCTGAACAGCAGAATAAAAGTGTGTGGTATTCCAGCCACCAATAGTCTGAAACAAACTGTGGATTCCCTTTGCTCAGATCTGTAACAGTGTAAGTAAGAACAAGATTTACTTCTCAGCGTGCCCTTGAGAGTAGGTAAATCCTAGATGCCATTGGAGAATTAGCAGAAATGTATCAATTGCAAGGGATAATAAAACCACATGGAATGCGTGAAAATTTGGTTTGGATTGAAAACAGTGGGCTGATTGTGGTTCATGTTGAGTGCAGGTCATTCAAGAAGTCACACCAAGGAAATTCTGCCTTTTGGATGTTCTTCAGCCAATTTCAGGCTTTGTACAGTGCAAAACTCAGCAAGGAGCCCAGGACAGCTGCGTGCAGGCAGAGCAATCATCAGGTGAGAAGGCTGTAGCTTCCAGAGGCATCTCTGTGTGCTGCTGAGCTTCTTGGAATGACATCTTGCTCTTTCCCTGAGTTCATTTCGCACCAAAAAAAAGCTGAGTTGCATTCATTTAACATCTTTGGCTATAGGCTGTGAGACCATGGCAAAGCTGTCCTTAAGGGAAATACTTCTGACTTTTGGGATATGTTTCAACTTCTGGTTTGCTGGGAAGGATAGAATAGGAAGCAGCTGAAGGTGTCAGGATAAAGCACCCAAAGGAGCCATTTGGAGCATCCTTCACCCCTCTGCCTTTGGGAGGTTATTGGGATGCTGCAGCACTGCAGTTATGGGGTCAAAGCTTGGGTGTGCGTTCAGTGCCTGGAATTATGATGGCTATTTGTGGTGTCCTATTGGAAATTCAGGTGGCCGCAGTGGGAATTCTTTGCACTACGAAGAAGGTTGGGCAGGAAGACCAAAATGATACCTTCTGGGTCAACGTGTTCACGTTCTGTGTAATGACTGGGTTTGGGCTGTTTCTCCTGGAGTCTGCTAGCATAATTAAGGCAATAGTGGGACGCTGCACACATTTGTCTGGGCTGCTAAATCAATCTCTCAAGCAAGCACTTTGTCTCCCTTGCAAATACGACTTCTTTTAACGCCTGATGGGAAAATGGTTTTGTTTTGGACGTCTCGATTCAGTTGCACTTACAGGAAAAACTTCCTCTGCTCGTTGTGTGGCTCCTCGGACTGTCTATGTAAAGCTTGGAACTTAATGAACTCTCTCATATATGAAAGAATGCATTAACTACAGGTCAGCAAAGTCTGTTTATTGTGCTGTTTCAGTACGGAGAGGTATTATTACTATGTTGCTTTTAAGGTCGCCTACTTAAAGGTAATTATTTAGTTTATCCAAAGCCATGCAGAATGCCAAAGCACAGCTCCTGCTTGTTTGTCTTCATGGTGCAGCGTAGTCAGAGTTCACCCTTGGGATAGCTGACTGCAGAGGAATGAAGAGATCTTGTTAATGTTCTCTTTTCCACTTGTCAAGGATTGCCATGTGGTTTCCCTGGACTTGTCATCCATTCCAAATTAATTGGAAAAAGAATTACATATTTTTTTTTAACTTCCCCTTTAGGATTGGAATTCCACAGCGCTCTGTAACGAGGGTAGAAACCATGAGCCCGAATCTATTTTTACTCCTCGACACAATCCCACGTATTTTCCCACGATTTGTAATCGCTGTGGGAATTTATAGCAGGGTGGAGCCCCAAATTGTGTGAAAATCCCTTTTCTCTTAGGACGTAAAGGCAAAGAACGCACCGGGGCACGGCCTTGTTTGAGTGTCCTCAGGAGGGGAACTCCAGCATTAACGTGCAAGCAAGGCTGGCCTGGCACAACCTCTGAAAGCTGTGCTCTGCCTGGATGCATGTGTGCACGCAGGAAGCCCAAAATCTCAGCCCCTTTGGGAAGCCTCAGCGCCTTCAGACGTTGACCCAACACGACGTGTCCACCGTCAGTCCTGAACATCCACGGCAAGATCAACAAGCGAATCCAAATCATCAAACTTCCTTCCCATTAAAGGGTAATTGGTGGCATCCTGGCCTTTCAGGCACCAGACTGCTAAACGCCTCATAAAACATTCAAAAGACTTGCAGAGCCCAAAGAGGAAAACGAGGAGAGATTTTTTTCCGCCTGATGGACATGGTGTGTAATTACTGTAGGCACATCCTGATTCTCCGTCTGCATTGCTCATCACTGCTGTGCTTAAGAGTCACTTGATATTCAAAGGATGCCCCAGCCAAGTCAGGTTTTCATAACACGACTACGTTATGAAGTATTTCACTCTTTAATATTGGTGTGCACGCACTTTCATCATGTATCGGACGGCAGTTTGCTCTGATACCAAGTGCCATGGGATGTCTGCATGCTGAATGATTTCAGGATAGTTATGCTAAGCAGCTCCATGGGGGGGAAACCTGCACTCGGGCACAAAAGCACCTCATTCTCCTTTATCGTAATCCATGTTTAAAATGGATTATGATGCAGAGCAGGCCACTCCTATTTTGGAGTAATTTTATATAGGAATGACTTCTGTGCTTTCAGCTCACGCCCTGCATTATCCAAAATAGCTTTGAAGTGCAGACAAGTGTCTAATGTGGTTCTAGGATTTCCATTCTGTTCCCTGGCTTCTCCTTGTTCCTTTGGGAAGGTCCAGAGCAAAACCAGACCTGCGGAGCCTGTCATTTAGGTTTTTGTTTTTGTAAGCTTTGTACCATGGGACATTTCCAATCTGATTCCCAATTTATGTGCATCCCCATGTAAGTTTTAGAAGGGAGTATTTAGGGACAGGCTTCTGACTCAGAGCCATCCCCACAAACTACATCAGCACATTAAGTGTTCTTGCTGAAACAGGGGGCCCTCTGGAAGCCTGTGGCTCCTTCTGGGACCTATTGGATTATTTCTGTTATCACTGTCCTCTTCTGCAACCTCCAAAGGAAACAGAATTTTGAGAACATTCCAAGGTAACCTATGCTGAGACCCGTGCCCAGCTGCCAGTTCTCTAGCTGTGGTAGCAACAGATGTGTTGGGAAGGCTGCAAACGTTCTCAGCAACCCCTCTGGTTTTGCCAAATGCCGTTGCCATGTCTGCTCCCCTGCAATGCCATTCCCTGAGCTTTCTCTTGGCTGTGCTGGTCAGATGGATGTGAGCCATGGAACTGGAGGGTGTCCTTTCTCACATCTACACAACTGTTTCAAGGTTCAGCCACAGAGGCAGGAGGACCTTCGTTCACAAAGACGGTGGAGGTGCTTTCTTCAAATAAAAAGAGGTTTATTAAGGTAATGAGAACGACATTATGGTGTGGGTGTTGTACATCTAGTGCAGCATTAAGAGAAACAACAGCAAGTACAAAATCCTGCAGAACTTCTATTGTTATCATAGCCTATCTCGTCCATGCTACAGTTCTGTGTATCCAAAACTTCATTCCCATTTCTAATGGCAGAAAGACCAGAAACGTCCATCTTTCAAAAAGGCAAAAAAAAAAGAAAGAAAATAAACCAAACCGAATAACCAACTCAATTTGATATAAATAACTCGCACTGGACATTTTAAAACTTTCAGATTTAATTACACATAAATAAATATATACAGATTTAGAACAGTTCAGTTTGGCCTGGTTCAAGTTCTGCTCCTTGTGCTTAATTCATTATTATTAATAATCACTTTAAAAACATGTGTGTGCTGTTCTGTGTAGGTTGTGGAGTTGCAGCAAGTCCTGGGCTCGGTGTTCCTGCTTTGTCCCTCCTGGGAGCATCGCAGGTGCTCTGCAAAATGAAGCCTGAAACCGCTTCAAACCCAAAGCTGGAGGTTTTCTCCTGGCCTGGCTTTAGGGCTGGGCTGTAGGTGGGGAAATAGGAAGAAATAGGAAGGTTGCTTGGGTCAACTTGCTTGCCCGTCACAGCCAGCTGGCAGATCCAAGCACAGCTCTGTGCCGCTCGTGCCCCCACTCCTGGTATTGGGGCGGCTTTTGTTCGCTCTTCTCAGTTCTTTGCTCAGAACAAATTCCTGGAGCTTGTCAGGATTTTATTACGGGCTTTAAAATAAAAGAAAGAAAGAAAGAAAAAAAAAATTGCACATGACTTGGCTTCCTGCATCCGTGATTTAAAAAAAAAAAAAAAAGGCAAAACGAAAAAGCCATCAAACTGGCTTATTTTCTCCTCCTCGCCACGTCTGTCAGAGTTGTTTTCTTCCTGCTGAACTTCGATCCGTTTCTCTTTTTGTAGTTTGCATCTTGAGTTTCGCTCCCCCCCCCCGGTTCGAATGGAGCGGTTCAGAAAGCGCCGCGTCCTCCTGGCACTGCTGACCTTCCTCGGGCTGTGGGAGCTCCCCAGGCAGGGGATGGAGCATGCACCTCACTTCCGATGCTTCCCGTCCTTCTCTGACGCTTTGGAGTCTCCGGCCGTGTGCCCGTTCCCTGTGCTGCTGATGAACATTTTATCCAGCCCCTTGAGGGACTCCACCAGGTAGTTCTGGAAGGCTGTCAGTGCTGCACAGATGGCCGGGCCGCCGAAGCCGTGGGTGATGAGGCTGAAATGAGTCAGACAGCTCTGCACGCCCGGCTCCAGGATCAGCGAGGGGCGGCTGTTCCCCAGAGGTGAGCGGTCCTGTGCTATCAAGTCTGCAAACTCTTTGCAAATTTGCCTGGAAGAGAAAGTTTGAGTTGGAAGGGATCTTTAAAGGTCATCTGGTGCAGCAGCCCTCGTGACAAGAAAGGCATTGAGGTGCTGGAGTGTGTGGAGAGAAGGGCAACGGAGCACAAGACTTATTTGGGGGAGGCTGGGGGAGCTGGAGTGGTTTGGACTGGAGAAGAGGAGGCTCGGGGCCATCTCATCACTCCCTACAATGAGCTGAAGGAGGTTGTGGTGAGGGAGGGGTCAGCCTCTGCTCCCAGGTAACAGCAATAGGACAAGAGGTGATGGCCCAAGTTGTGCTATGGGAAAAACGATGCACTGACACAGGCTGCCCAGGGAGTGGGGGATCAGCATCCCTGAAGGTGTTCAGAACAATGGAGATGTGGCAATGGAGGACATGGTCAGTAGCCATGGAGGGAGTGGGCTGGGATTGGATTTGGTGAGCCCTCTGGAAGGGCTTTCCCAACCAGAATGATTCTATGATTCAAACGAACAGGGGCATCTAAGCTCAGTCAGGCTGCTCGGAGCCCTGACCAGGTCTGGCTGCATGCAGCAATGCAACCACATCCTCCCTGCAGAAGACAAAGCTTTTGTGGCCGCCCCTGCACCATGGCTGGAGTCTGACCCAGCACAGCACTCACTTGGTGGCCAGCAGCATGTTCTTCCTGGTGTGGAGCTCCGTGGGGTCGGAGTGCTGTCGGCACAGGTACTCTGCCGCCGCTTTGGCTGGGAATTCTGTTTCACACACGTAGCCAAAATCCCGGGCCAGGTGGACAGCTTCACCTGCAGGTGGGACAGATTCACACAATGCATCAGCACCCGGCTGCAAGGGGACCTTTTCTCCAACAGCTTCAGATCTGGCACTGTCGGGGTTTATTTCTGCTGGAATCAGGGTGCTCTCCTTTCACAACTGCCACCCAAGAGCGCTCTCCCCCTATGGCTCTCAAGCTGGTGGGCACCACTAAGAGTTTCTTATACCCATCTGTAAGACAACTAGTGCATGTGGGTCTAAATGAACTACCACCACCTCTAAACAGAAGCTGGTCCCTTCCTCTGGTGACTTAAAAGGAGAGTGAAAAGAGACCTTAGCAAGCCGGGCCCTCGGGCTGGCTGTACGTGCACATATCCATCACCCCTGGAAGAGCCCACCCATTGATGGAATTGATCCATCTCCGGGCGTCCCCCTGGAAATAATCAGAGCTGATGGCAATCGATCACATCCAGCACCCGAAATCCCGCTCGGGCAGGCAGAGCTAATTGGATGTGCCCCCTGCGGCTCACACACACGAGGCCATCCATCCTGATAGCATTAACCCAGATCCCAGCACAGCCCGCCCGGCTCCAGGGCTGCTCTGCAGAGCTGTGGCACAGGGAATGTGCCTGCGTGCTTCCTGCACAGAGCTGCTGCTTCCACTTCCACCTCCTCCTCCAAAGAAGCAGCAGATGAGGAAAACTTAATTGGAACTGCGGTCGTTCACATGTTAGAAAACAATTAAAGCGCAACAGCTGCTGAAAAACAATCACTGTGACACCAGAAATGGGGAAGGCAGAGGGGAGAAGAATAAAGCGTGGCAGCAAACATCTGAGAAGGAGGTACCCAGGGTGCAGGGGAACCAGTCCATCTCTGTGTGCAGTGACGGTGCTGTAAGGCCTTCCTCTGGGTGAAACACCTCCAGTACTGACTTGCAGGAGATCGTATCCAGCGAGCACCTATGACACCACTATTTATTTACTACGAGCTGGTAAATGGTAACCACAACATCAGCAGCCACCTGAAATCAGACCATAAGTTCGTTCCTTCCTTTCTTTCTTTCTTTCATTCTTCTCCTTCTTTTCTTTTAATGGAAATCAACCTTTCATTCAGCACAAACCAACTGCCCTCGGTAACAACCTCCGCCTAATGAAGCGGGTCATTTAATTTGCTGGCGACAATGGAGATGATTTTCTATTCAGAATCTGCAGGCAGCTGCCTCCAGCACACTGGGCACGGACACAATGGATTCCGGAGCTCGAAGGCAGTCGGAGCTGTCACTGCGTCTGTCTGCGTCCCGCGTCCTTTTCTCCAAAGATGCGGCACCACCTCGTCATTTCCATAGCGCCAAAGGTGGGAGGGGGGCAACCCCACAGCTCTGAGCAGCAGCACTGCTCCACGTGGCACCTGGGGATGTGGTCAATGGGCACACAGGAATCTGAGAAGGCTTTTCCAACCTCGGTGATTCTGCGTTTCTATGGAGCCCCAGCCAAGCCCTCGGTGCTCCCAAGGACAGCGAGCTGGTGGCCATTGTGGGCACGCAGTGCTGCAGTTGGCCTGACACCTCATCATCAGCTTTACTCACACCTTTTTCTATCTGGTTTCGGTGGTCTTGACCAGCTTTTCCTAAAACTGCTTTGCAGAGTGAACAGTGAATTGAGGGGTGGCCGGGGGCAGCTCACAGCTGCAACGTTTCGCCCCGTTCAGGCCCCAGATGCCCTTTCACAAATGAGCTATGACTGCTCCCACAGAAATGCTCCCGTTTCAGAGGACAGACGTGTTTCAGTCAGTGCAGACACTGACAAAGGGCACTTCCAGTCTCAGTGTTGACCACGTCATACTTTGCTTTAAGTGCTGTCATTTGTGGAAAGCTGCAAATGAGGGGTGTTGGAGTTTCGGCACTCCCATCTCTCTGGGCTCTTACCTTCCACCAGTGATGTCAGCAGGGTGACGTTGGCAGCTTTGCGCCGTCCTGCGGGTAGATTGAGGCCGATTTTCTCTAACCTTTCCCTTAAACACCGACCCCCGTTTTTTGATTTTGCTCTGGAAAGAGAAAGAAAGGAGAAAAAGAAAAAATAAAATGATGCTGCCATTCATATTAGAAGAACCATAATTCATAGAATCATCACAATCATAGAGTTGGGTTGGAATGGACCTCAAGGACATCCAGATCCAACCCCCTGGCCAAGGGCTGGTTGCCAAGTACAAAATCAAGCACTGGACCAGATTGCCACGGCCCCGTTCAACGTGGCCTTGGGCACCTCCAAGGATGGGGCATCCACAGCTCTCTGGATTCCAGCGTAAGCTTTTCGGTTTGGAGGAGAAAGAAGAGAAAGCAACGAAAAGGCCGTTCCCCAGCGAACCACGCAGCAGCAATTCCTCACCCCCACCCTTACCTGCGCAGGACCCCGCCGAGGAGGGAGGCGTTGAGGCACTCGGGGGGCGAGAGCCTCCTCTGCACCTCCCCCACCGTCACCTTGTACTTGGAAGTGGAGCTGAGCAGCGAGAGGCGGCCGGGCACCGAGCAGAAAACCTCGTTGGGGTTCGTCACCCCTCCGATCAGCCCGTCCTTGTTCATCAGGGAGGGAATGGTGCCGTTGGCCTTCGAGGGGATGGGCACTGCAGGGCAGGAAAGGGAGAGAGGAGAGGAGAGCAGGCTTCAGAGGGCAGAGCTCAGGAAGCGCGTCCGCAGCTGAAGCCATGGCGTGGCTTCGTGTGCTCCTCAATGAAGGAGAAGAGGGGTGAGGTTGATGGAGCCAAACAAAAAAGAAGAAAAAAGCACAATGGAAGAAGCCCAGGATCTGCTCTCACTGCTTTCCCACACCTCCCGCCCTGGTGCAATTAAAACTGGGGTTTTAGAGTGGTCTTCGGGAAGGTGTCTCAAGACCCACAGCCCCGCTGCCCTGCACAGAGCTGAGAGGTGCCGGGAACATGGGAACCAGGGAAAGGCGTCAGCTTCGGGGTCAGCCCTGCAAAGGGAGCTTGAGGAGCTCAAACCTCAGTAACACAGCAGGAGCTGCTGCTCATGGGCAGCATCAGAGCACAGGAGTCAGACAGCACTGGGGCAGCGCACCGGGGTGGCGCAGCACGGCTTCTCCCATGCGTCACCCCAGCAAGAAACGCTCCGAGACGCAGCAAAGCTTTATGGGTCAAAAGTTCTGGCTGAAACTAGTGCCAAAACTCTTTGGCTTTTATGTTCTGAAACGAATAGCCAATTTAACTCTGGAAAAAAAATAAATATATCAACAGATCTTCAATGAAGCCGAAGGGGGCTGCCAACAGCATCGCTTCGCATCGGCTTGGCCCTGACGTTCCCTGTGGTTCCCCAGTAATGGTTGCCCCATGGTGCCACGCACGTGGCAGGTAATGCAGGTTTGTAAAGGAAATAAACATGCCCCAAATGGAACAGAAACCCTGAAAATTGATGGGGGATGGCTACGTGGGTCGGACCTATTAGTGGACGCTCACAATCAGCGTATTGTAAGTGCAGCTTAACAACTTGTTGGCGTGGCAGCAAAAAAGGAGCAGTGTTACATAAAAATGGCTCGTGTTTAAGGCTGTAAGATGAATTGGAATGAGAGGAGTTCCCTCTCAGCATGGGACCTCGGCACGGCCAGAGACTGAAGGGCACGATGCACTGCTCCCACTGGCAGTGCCACTGCGGCCACTGGCTGAGAGGTGGGAAGGGAATCACAGCAACGTCATCACGGGATGGAGGAAACCAGAGCTATTTCCAAGAAGGAGCAACTTCAAAGTTCTCTTTCAGGGCCCTAGAACAGATCGTGTTTGCCTCTAAATTACCCTTGCAAGTTTCACAAACATCCATGCATTACTGCAGAGGTGTGTGTCAGGGCCGGGTACCTGGTGGATGCTGCACCGAGCCGCCCCACAACCAGACCCATCACCCAGGGAGCAGCTGCTGCTCACAGCACCCTGCCCACCCACCAAGCACTCTGCATCATTCACACACGGACACATTCCTGCATGCCCAGGATCATGCTGTGACGTGTGCCCGAGCCCGCATGCGTGGCCAGGGAGCTGCGTGCACATGTGGGCGTCATGCAGGAGATGGGGCCATGCAGCACCACGCGTGTCCCTGGAATGGGGCGCGTGGGGAGGAGGCCAACCCAGCTGGCAGCAGCACCAGGCGCTGCGGAGCACTGCTGTGGGATGGAGCAGAGTGCAGGATGTGTGTGGGCACAGGGGGGGTGGCGTGGGGACGCGTTTGAAAGGACACGGTGGCATTTCAAGGAATGACCCTACAGCCTGAAACAACCCCACTGGGAGCTGCCCCACAGCAGCCCTGTGTCCAAGCCCCACGGGCACTGGCACAGCCCTGGCACGTGCAGGGATAGGGGCACCTCAGACAGCACGGCACACCACTGCAACAGCGCTGCATCCATCACACCACGTTGCCTCGATACAAGAATAAACATAGCCACGGTCGCCATTAATTATTAATGATTGTGATTTGGCCTCACCTGCAGTTTGCCTGGTCTGCTCTGCAGCTTGTTTGCCCATAAACATGCTGCAGGAGGGAGACAAGCTACCATTAAAGCCTGACAGCTTTGTTTCCTTGGCTTTGGGGGAAGCAAAATTGTCTCTTGTCATCTGAGTAAACCAAAAGTCCCCCTCGATCTTCAGTTGCTGCTTCCCCGCTCCTGCAAGCAGCAGGTGATCGGAGCACCTGAGCCAGCCTGCAGACAAAAGGAAGCGTAAGACCAGGGTGGCAGCCAGCGTGTCACCTGCACCGCGGTGAGGGGCACAGAGGGGGGACACGATGGCAGAGCTGGGTGCCACGCCGCCAGGATGCGGGTGGGACGTGCTTGGAGCTGAGCCCTGCTGGCCCTTGGCCGGGTGGAATGGATGAGCGTGGGGATGTGGCGCAGGGGTGGCCGCACTGGGATGTAAGTTCTGGGCTTGTCCTCGGAGACCCCTGCCCACGGCACCAAGGACCTTCCCCCAGTGGGTGAACAGTGCCCAGTGTTGGTGAGAGAGCGGATGACTGAGACCTGGGACAGCAGCACCTGGGGCAGAAATGTGCTGGAATGGAGGCACATCACACACAGACTGGTCAGGCACGGTTTGGGCACTCATCCCTTTCTCTGGATGCATGGATGGATGGATTGGACAGAGCACAGCTGAGCCCAGCCCAGCCCAGGACGCTGTGATGGCAGCACAGGGATCGCCCACCCCACAGTGCTCAGTGCAGGACACGATCGCTGGGCTGCTCAGGAGCCTCTGCAGGATGGGAAGAGCTCACAGAACAGCAAATCCCGACCCCATCCTGAATGCACAGCGGTGCCCCAGGAGCTGCCTGCTTACAGCAGCGGGGCAGAGAACAAGTTCAATGATTTACCAGGAATCAGCCATACGAGCACGACCTGAACGCACGCTCTGTTTCACTGCATGCCTTCAGAGCAATCCAGACTGCACAGCACTTCCTAAACACTGGGCTCCAGAAAACCTGTTACCTTGTGCTGTGCTTCCGAAGCTCCAGATTCCTTCTAATGCTGCAAAATAATGATGTAATCATTACAGCACTGTCCTTCCACGAGGCTCAGCACCCGCTGCCAGCAGCTCCCTGGTGCCACGCTGGACCCTGAGGTCACCTCCTCAGTGCAGGCATCAACAAAAGGGAGACAAAGGCATCTGCAGCCCCTGGGTGGTGAATGTCACCAACAGGATGCACAGTGGGTGAGGAAAGGCACAGTGCAGCATCTCAGCACAGGGGACAGCAGTGCTCACTCCTGGGAGGCAGCTGCTGTCCCCACTGCACCACGTCCCTGTGCAGTTGTCCCACAGACAGCTTGAGTTACATGGGCAAAGAGCTTTTGCCTACCAGAGACCGAAAAAAATAGATGAAATGCTGAATTGTGCTACCGGCTTGCAAAATAATTTGTAAGCAGGGAGATGTGGGGCTCCTGGCAATCAAATTGCTCATGGTATTAGTTGCCTGGTTCCAGTGCCAGCTGAAGCTTGGGGTGCTGCAAGGGGAAAAGCGAGTCCAGAGGGAAGATGCGGATTGCTGCCTGTCAGACAGGTCTGGTTTCCTCCTACTCAGATCCATTTCAGGCACATCCTCCTCCTCAGCAGCGTTGGACCATTGGATGCTGGCAGTTTCATTGCGACACCTCTCTCAGAGCAGGAGTGTGCTGAAGCTCAGATCCCATCTAACTCAGCTGAGCCCCCTAAACCCCCTTCTCTGAGGCAGTCTCCCATCTCCACCCCCAAAGGAGCAGCTCAGCCCTGCGAGGCCTCTGCTCTGCATCACCAGCACCATATGCAACCCTTCCAGCTGCTCCCACTGCATGCTGTGTCCCGCAATGCAAGGCAATGCATTGGGTCGAGCTGCAGGCACTGATGCATGGCAATGGCACTGAGCACTGAGTCCAGGCAGCCATGCCCGTTGCTGCAGCTCTGCCCCACGCTCTGCTCCCTGCAGCCAGGCGCGTTGCTCTGCCCTCTGCACGCAGTGCTGTGAGCACTGGCTGCTGGAGGAGCAGCGCTGCAGAGAAGCACAGGGGCCGTGCTGGGCTGTCTGCCAGGGAGAGCAGAACCAACCCAACCTTTGTCTGAGTGCCTCTGCTGTAAATTACAAGCCCGGGATCCATACATCAGGCAGTGTCTGAGTGTGGGTGTGAGCCAGAGGCAGCAGCTCCTGCCTGCTTCAGAGGAGGTGCGCGGTTCAGCTCCTGCCATTTCCTCGTGCTTCAGCACAGAGGTATTTATGGAGGGGCCGGGAAGGAGGTCAGTGCCATCGGCCATATTTCAAACCGCGCTCTGTAATTATCCTTTCTTCCCAGAGGGGTTCTACAGGTATTTTCTTTATCTCGAATGCACCACCTGAATTGAGTCCCCATGTCAAAGAGGCTCTCTAGGAATCGGCTCGGAGGCCTCTTCAAATGGATGGACGGAAAGAATCCGGGTTTTATCTCTGTGCTGTCCAGATTGCTGCACTGTGATACGGAGCAGAGCTGGGACCGTCGGGAGGGGATGGAGCTGCAGGGCCCACAGCGTTCCCACGGGACAGCACCCAGCAGAGCTGCTGGGCCCATGCAAAGCTCCCTGCGTGTCATTATGCCTCCAATGCAAATCAATACATTAAGGGACGAGCTCCATCACAAGGTGCCATGTGACATTCGTGGCCATCTCCCTTCCTGCACCTCTTCCCACAGCCTCACCGTGCACCCAGTGATGTGCTGGAAGGACACACAGCAACGAAACGCAGCCAGACCTTTCCAAAAGCACTGCAAGCACCTCTGGGACTGGGGAGGTGGTGAGCAAGCAATGTGCAATTACTGCACTTGTTGCAATTACTGCAGCTACCGCATCTCCCTGCTTTGCCATTTTGCAGTAACTCGGCCTAAAACCCTCCTTCTGAATTTGTTGTGAATCTGGGGGAGCTGTGCATGGTTGTAGGGCTGCGCTGTGCTCGTGGATGGGAGCACTGGGAATGGGAAGGCAGCAATGTTAGCAACGTCCTCACAGGAACGAACAGAAATGGACTCAGATCCCACTTTTGGTTCTATGATTCCCTGCTCCGGGCGGATCGAAGCAGCTCTGCCTCTGTATAGAAAAACTGAGATTCACAGCGTGGAAAACACTCGGACACAGGG